GCTATCTGTGCAGAGCTCTGTGTGTGGGGGGGGGTGGGGTGTGTGACTGGTGTCTGTGCAGGGGTGTGTGTGGGCAGGCCGGGAGTGACTGGTGTCTGTGCAGGGCGGGGTGTGGGCAGGCAGGGAGTGACCGGTGTCTGTGCAGGGGTGTGTGGGGGCAGGCAGGGAGTGACCGGTGTCTGTGCAGGGGGTTGTGTGGGCATCCGGGGAGTGACTGGTGTCTGTGCAGGGGTGTGTGTGTTTGTGGGGGCGGGGAATCAGTTCTGGGTTAGGGTTCTGTCTGGTTCTGTTCAATATGTTCATCAATGATTTAGATAATGGCATAGAGAGTACACTTCTAAAGTTTGTGAATGATACCAAGCTGGGAGGGGTTGCAAGTGCTTTGGAGGATAGGATTAAAATTCAAAATGATCTAGACAAAACTCATCTAAAGTAAATAGGATGAAATTCAATACGGACAAATGCAAAGTACTCCATTTAGGAAGGAACAATCAGTTGCACACATACAAACTGGGAAATGACTGCCTAGGAAGGAGTACTGCAGAAAGGGATCTGGGGGTCAGAGTGGATCACAAGCTCAATATGAGTCAACAATGTAACACTGTTGCAAAAAAAGCAAAGATCATTCTGGATGTATTAGCAGGAGTGTTGTAAGCAAGACTCAAGAAGTAATTCTTCTGCTCTACTCCACACTGATATGCCCTCAGCTGGGGTATTGTGTCCCGTTCTGAGCACCACCTTTCAGGAAAGATGTGGACAAATTGGAGAAAATCCAGAGAGGAGCAACAAAAATTATTAAAGGCCTAAAGAACATGACTTATGAGGGAAGATTGAAAAAACTGGGTTTGTTTAGTCTGGAGAAGAAAAGACTGAGGGGGGACATGCTACCATTTTTCGAGTACATAAAAGCCTGTTACCAGGAGGAGGGAGGTAAATTGTTCTCTTTAACCTCTGAGGATAAAGACGCCATGGGCTTAAATTGCAGCAAGGGCACTTTAGGTTGGACATTAGGAAAATCTTCCTGTCAGGGTGGTGAAGCACTGGAATAAATTGCCTAGGGAGGTTGTGGAATCTCCATCATTGGAGGTTTTTAAGAGCAGGTTAGACAAACACCTGTCAGGGATGGTAGATAATACTTAGGCCTGCCATGAGTGCAGGGGACTGGACTAGATGACCTCCCGAGGTCCCTTCCAATTCTGTGATTGGGGGAGTCGGGAGAGGGGCTGCTTTGCAATGGCAGCACCAGCTGGCGATTGGTCTTTGGCCAGTGGTAGCACTCACAGCCACTTGGAGATCAGGCCTTATGGCGCCAGGCCCTGTACAAGCACAGAACGAAGATGCTCCTTGTGCCAAGGAGTTGGGGCGCTGTTCCCGTGGCAGGGGTCCCTGGGTGTGCTGTGGAGTGTGGGGGGGTTCCTCATTAGTGTGAGGCGCTTCCTCCCTAGGTCGAGTCCAGTGGGGTGATGCTGTCAAATGTTTCCAGCAGGAGCATGTTCAGGGCTCTGTGGCTCAGAAGACCACAGAGCTGTTCCCTGTAGAGCTCTGATGGCCAGGCTGTGAGCTCTGAGCTGCTTTGGGGCTCTTTCGGGAAGGCCGTGGTCTGTTTCCCCTGCAGGGTCTGAGTACGCATCTGCTCTGGAAAGTGCAGGAGTCTGCCAGCCCCTTGTGACCGAGGGGATCGCTGGCTCTCTGCCCCATGCAGTGGGGTCCCCGGTGGGGCCGTTGGCTCACGGGATGTGGGCTGAGGTAACTGGCGCTTCCCGGGCTTGCTCCTTTGCATGGAGTTGGTGTTCACCACACAGGGTGGCATTAGTCAGGCCAGCTGTTTCCCACCAGTCCCGTTCAGAGGCTCAGTCCTGGCGCTGCACGGAGCCAGTTTGGTTCAAGTCTGAAGCCGGCAGTGGGCTTTTATACCCCTGGTTAGTGAGCGGCTGAGGGGCCACACTTGCACTATGGCTTGGGGAGCCCGTGGGGTCGTCTCCCCTCCACTCTGATTGTTTGTGTCTGAATTGTGTTTCCAGGGGCATTTCCTGGCTGTCCCGTCCATGCCAGCCCTGGGTAGCAGATGAACGCCGAGCTCGGCGGGTATTTACCTGGATCCCACCTGCTCTGTTCTCACCCAGCAGGGCCCCAATCCCAATACTGGATGGAGCGAGGGGAAGAGCTGCACGTCCCAGATCTCAGCAAAGGCGAGGACGATGAGAGCTGGCCGGGCCCCCAAACAGGTGAGGGATAAATAAGCCCAGCTGAGAGGGGTGGGGGCAGCGGCAGGGCCGGCGCAACCACTAGATGACCTAGGCGGTCGCCTAGGGTGCCAGGATTTGTGGGGGCGGCATTTCGGGTCCCTCGGCGGCATTTTGGTGGCGACGCTTCGGCCGCCGCAGAATTCGGCGGCATTTTGGCGGTGGAATGATCTTCGGCCACCCCAGTCTTCGGCGGCATTTCAGCGGCAGCTTCTCGCGGAACCGCCCCTCTCCTGTCCTCTTCTATCCTTTTTTGCCGCTGGTCCTGGGCAGCGGGGAGCCCCCACATCCACCCCTGCAAGCCCTCCTGGCCCAGCTCCTCTCAGAGGTTGTCACCACCCTCTCCCTGATCTGTGTGCACCACTGCACCCATCCCACCACCTGCGCTAGGGCCCCCAGAACCATATGAGAGCCATGTCTTGGTCCTCACTGAAAAAGCAAATAATATTTCCAGCCCACACAGAGGCAAAGAAGGCTTGTGAACCTGAGCTGGGTGGTGCTGACACCTGCCTGAGTCTGCAGCAGCCTGAAAAAGCTGCAAGAAGTGTGACCACCTCCTTCAATCCCACCTCGGAAACCGGCTCCAGGGAAGGGCGGGGCCACTTGAGTGGTGCCTTGGGCTCTGACTGCCGTAGTTGGGGCCCTGTCCTAGCCGGCCTCCTGTGGGGACGGCTCATGCCTGGTTGCCCGTTTGTTCCTGCAGGTGAGAGGCTGGCGAGCATGGCTGGGGCAGAGGATGCTGCATCGGGAAGAGGCGGCACCAGCACCGATGTGGAGCTGGTGGGAGCGTGGCACAAAGACCCTGCTGCAGGGGTAGAAGAAGCTGTGCGAGGAGGCAGTGCCAGGGTGGAGGAGGCTGTGCCAGGAGGTAGCGCTGATGCAGAGCCGGCGCGGCATAGAGGCCCCACCGTCAGGTGGCCCTTTAAATGCAGTGAGTGTGGGAAGAGCTTCCGGCAGAGTGCCACACTGACAAGGCACCAGCTCCTCCATGCGAGCGAGAGGCCTTACATCTGCACCACCTGCAGCAAAGGCTTTTGCGACCACGCAGCGCTGGCCACGCACCAGCGGGCGCACACAGGTGAGCGCCCCTTCCCCTGCCTGGCGTGCGGCAAGGCCTTTACTGGCAGCTCGGCGCTGCTGGTGCATCAGCGAGTGCACACCGGTGAGCGTCCCTACCGCTGTGGGAAGTGCGGGCAGAGCTTCCGGCAGAGTGCCCACCTGGCACAGCACCAGCAGGGCGCCCACGCCAGCCAGCGCCCCCACGCCTGCGCTCACTGCGGCAAGAGCTTTGGGCTGCGCTCCACGCTGGCACGGCACTTGCAGACACACAGTGTCGAACGCCCCCACGCCTGCCCTGACTGCCCCCGCCGCTTCCGCCAGCGAGCCCACCTGCTCCGGCACCGGCTAGCGCACACAGGTGAACGTCCCTTCCCCTGCCCGGTCTGCGGCAAAGCCTTTGCCCTGAGTGCCACGTTGCTGCGGCACCAGCTGGTGCATACGGGTGAGCGCCCCTACCGCTGTGGGGAGTGCGGGCGCAGCTATACACAGAGCTCCTACCTGCGCCAGCACCAGCGCAGTGCCCACGCTGGCCAGCGCCCCCACACCTGCCCTGACTGCGGCCGTGCCTTTGCTGACCGTGCCAACCTCCTGCGGCACCAGCGGGGCCACACAGGCGCCCGACCCCACACCTGTGCTGAGTGTGGGCGGAGCTTTGCCCAGCTGGCACACCTACGGGAGCACGGGCGCACACACAGCGGGGAGCAGCCATTCTGCTGCAGCAGGTGTGGCCAAGCCTTTGGGCACCGCTCAGCCCTGGCTGCGCACCAGCGTGCACACAGTGGAGAGCGCCCTTACCCCTGTACCCAGTGTGGGTGCCACTTTG